ATGCATCTACAGCTATAGTCCCCTCCACAGTCACATGTCCCATTGATTGAAATAGGATTTACTGGTTTACCAGTGTGATTCCATATGTATTAATGATCCTTATCATCTTTGAACAGAATATTTGGCTGCGGGGCTGCACAGCAGAAAAAAAACCCTGGAACTGCCCCCTTTCTAAAAGTGTATCATGAAATATTAAGTACAGTCATCTGCTGAGATGGTTGGGTTGCTTGTCAAAGCTTAACACTTACCACATGTCTAAATAAAGGTAAGTGCCCCCCCTCCAATTAATCTCCAATTAGGGGCTCTGCTCTGTGCCTTCGCATCTGTTTCCCAGTCTCAACTCAGCAGGTGGGGGGTACTTTGCGTGTGTGTGTGTGTGTTATGGGTTACCAGAGGATTATCAGGCACTGGACACAGAACAGGGATAAAGGGCTATTTTCTGACACTTACTGTATTCACATGACAAGACTGTCATGCTGCTCTGTGACCATCAGTCGTGGCCACACTGATTACATAGTAACATTTAGAACACAGCCTATATAAAGCTGCAGCAGAGAGGAACACATGACAGTGACCTATGCAAAATAGTCGTACCATGTGAGATGCGGAGAGACATAAGAGACCTCATGCCGAGTGATTTATCAGGGATTGTCATGACTCTGTCAGGCTTTATATAACTACCAGCTGAGGGGTGCACTTTCCCATGTTGTAAGGGGTCAGGAGGCCACCCTCTAAGCACTGTGACAGTTGTGTTTCACACAAGAATTCCAGCCCACTGATGGGGGATCTAAGAGAGCATGAAAGAGGAGCAGAGAACTGTACAGTGTGCATCACTTTAGCTCCTGGTGATCCCTCCGCCCACTGCACCCTGCACCCCATGGGCAGCTCTCCCTGCACCTATCCCTGGGCTGAAAGAACAAGCACTGTCTCTGTGAGAGGCAGCCCCCCCCATCCACACACACACCCCCTCCCCAGCCCCACTGTCGGTGTGCTGCTAACCAGAAGCCTGAGGCGCAGGGAGTGTGTGGGATGAAGGGATGAGAGAGAAGATCAAAGCAGGAGGCATGAAAAAGCTCAAAGCACACAAGCAAGAGGCACCTCCCTGACCTCCGCCTCACACACACACACACACACACACACACACACACACACACACACACACTGAACGGCAGAATAGTTGTCGTCCTCAACGGCCTTCAGTTCCCCCTCATCCAGCAGCCATGTAAAAAGGCAAAGAGGAGAGGGCACGTTGCTCAGGTCGTGTGAGCCTCTCAGCAGATGTTTGGGGACCTGACACCTGAAGCGATGCCTCCTGTTGGTGCCAAAGGGCCAGTGCACACCCTGCTCTGACTGGTCCATCTCACTTTCTCAAACTTTTACATACGATTAGCATCTTCCTGTTTTTTAAAAAACTGCACAAGCTTTTAAAAATCAATTGGTTTACTTTGTGATTCTTTTATATTTTACTGCCTGTATGTTTTACATTTGGATTCTACATAGCTGATGCAATGAAAACATTTCAATTAAAGAAAACGGTCTCAAAAGAAAACAGGAGGCTATCTTAAAAAGGTTGAATCATCGGTGGGGTTGGCTTCAAACTCCAACAGATTATGGATGTGTCTGGACTGCGGCACATGAAAGGTACCGCTAAAAGGCTTTAATAGATCTCTACGTGGAGAATTATCCCCTACCTCGGGCAAAGGCTTACTCAGAATAGAAAAGGAAGTTCAGGCAGTGCAGAAGAGAACACAATAAAAAAGTTCTCAAACAAGATGAAGAAAAAACAAAATCCCATGATCTGGAAACGGGTGTGAATTAAAGGGTTTGTGCCTTTTTTATTCATCATATTTGAAGTCAGCACCATTTTCAATGGCGGCAGAAGGTTGCAGCAAAGTTCAGCGTCAACATGCAGTGACCCCAGTTCTACCTGCTGACGGATAAAGCTGTAAGTTTAGGTTTTGTAATGAGCGCGGTCAGACTTGTGAGCTACCTTGGCCCCGAGGATCCTCTCTCCATTATTCATGAGTCCTCAGGTTGGACCCTGGGAACAAGCTGAGCGAGGCCCTGTGTCAATACGAAACACTGGCCACCACAATGGGCTCTGCCTCCAACTACACTGTTGACAGACACCAACACAAAGGAGCTGAAAGGGGTCCCCCTCCGTTCTCACACACACTGAAGAATGAGTCAGTGTGCTGCTGGTCAGAGCTGTGTTTGTACAGTATATACAGCTTTTGTCCATGGCCACTGTTCTCCCATCAATGGGGGCTGAAGTGTTGATGAAAACCAGGAGGAAAGGACTTCTCTGTGGCTGCCAGCGAGAGTTCATGTTCATTAGATGGGCTCCAAGCCTGCTGGACGGCACCTGTATGTACACAGAGAAACCCCGGGTGACAGAACAAGACGTAATCGGCTTATTGGTTCGGTAAACAACATTCCAAGATATACATCACAGCCCGACCTCTTTGACCAGCACATCATTGCAGCCTGTCATTGAAGTTAATGAATAATGAATGCTTTTGAACTGTGAAATCAAATATTGCAGCCATGTGACAGTCGCATTAAGATCCTGCTCTGAGGCAGACACTGATTCCAGTTTATGGTTTTTCATAATAATGTATATTTTTCACAACACATAAAGCCCAGTTCTGCTGCAACAAAAGGGAGAATCCATCTTTTTAAAGTGTCGTCAAGTAAATAACGTCAATGCTCATGGACAGTTTACTGAAAATATTTCAAAAGTTAGAAGTATCGGGACAAAACTAAAACAGAGTCTGGTGTCATGGAGAAGCAGACAGAATGTTTTCTTTTGTGATCTCATCGTAGAATAAAAATGGGCTCTCAGGGGACATTTCACTGCAGCTACATACACTGTCAGCAGCTCCATTAAATAACCAGAAGAGCTTTGCTGTTTCTGTTTGAACTATTTCTGGCCTGTGATGGAATACAAATGTTTTTCAATGTGCTAAATGTCATCATCTCCAACCAAAGTGCTTTTTTATTCCAATTGTTAATCCAAAAAATGAATCCCAGGCTACAATACATCAGGTATTCAAGATTTAATTGATTTTGTAAAACATCACATTACTTCTACATAATGTCTTGAAAGACTAGATATGAAAGTGTTGTATGGTGGGAGGACATCAAAGCAATATGTGACGTCTCAACTCGTTTTCATTGACAGAGGAGAAATGTCACAGGGCACTCATCTGATCTGAATCTGATTTGCTCCGAGCATCTCCAATCATTTGTGTTTGACTCTTTTCCACTTTAATATCCTTGAAACATTCATCAGCAGGACTCATTAGCTGGTATAGCTCTTGTATCAACCCAACAGAAAATGGAACTTTTCATGAAGTAAAGATTTATAGGCTGGTTCTCATAATTGTAATGTTTAATGAACAAACCCATATAGTTAACTGCATTTTTTCATTGCTCTGGCTTTAATATAGAGGATTTAGTTTGAATAATGAATTAATTAATTAATGAAAACTCATGTATTATACAGTGGTGGAGTTTGTACTCATTGACCCCAGAACAAATTGTCTTATTATATAAAAGCCTTGAACTTGAATGTTATAAAATCTCAAATAGCAGAACAGGAAGATAAACGTGATCTTTTTGTTTTATTTGTGTGTCTGGTCAAATACAACTTTAACACAGTTACCTTAAGGCATATTTAGGATTTTGAGTTGCTCATGTGTTTAAGTCCTTTTGTAATGTATTGCTGTAACCACTGGGGGCAGTAAATTGTATTTGGACCTTCTGCTACAGTTGTGATAGGCCAATACTGCCAATAATAATAATAATAATAATAATAATGAAGAAATGTGATGTGTAATTGTACCGAATATATGTTTTGAACAGTATTCTTTTATCAAGCATTGAAATGCTTAAAACATGTTCAAATGTATAAAAAAAATGCAAGAAATACAGATAAGTATACAAAAAAAGTTTCAACGAATTTCCATTTCAACCTTTAGTTTTGGAAAAGTCTGCTTCTCTTATCTCCCACAGTAATCAATAGTTTCTATTGCTTCCCACAGGCGCCATCTACTGGTTGAAGTAAAGAACTCAGTCAAAGCAGGAGTGACGTGTGGCAGCAGAGGGTATCACAGTAATGTGTAATATTTTAATAAGAACTGTACGGATATGAAGTCATATATTTTCATTGAAACTTTCAAATGCAGTCCTATTGTTTTCATACTCTTAATAGTTGAGTTTTATCTACATTTGCATTTGAGCAATAATTTCCCTATTGAATCATCTGCTATTTTTTTCTTTTCCAATCAACCCATACAATTACAGTAAATAGTGAAAATATTATATTTTATATTCGATATGTATAATTCCCTACAGTCCACAGTCTTCAGATTTCTGTTTTTGTGCGACCAACAGTCCAAATATCCAACATGGTAACAGCAAACATTTAGTTAAAAAGTTATCAAATTAAATGTTGATTATTTTTGTGTCAGCTAAATGGGTAATCGATTAATCCTGCATCCTATAGACTAACCAAGTTTGTATTTTTGTATATATAGACTATTAATGTAATTATTTATTATGGCTTATTCAATTACGACAGGAATGTTATTGATTTGTACAATAATGCACCGTCCCTCTGGCTGCAGTATGTGTTGGTGTGGTTGTGGCATCTCCTCCTCCTGCAGCAGAGCCCCTGCAGCCTCACACCAAATCCCATCAGCTCATGCGAGCAGCTCTCTGCTCCATCGCCCCTGTGGTTCACTCTGAGGTCAGCAGAGTTAAACTCAAACACCTCAGCTCCCATCACAGAAATCTGATTTTCAAGACCCCCCCTAATCAGCCCGTTTCCATGGCAACAGCAGCGCTCGCTCCGGATTTGGCAGAGGCGGATCAGGCGCGTGCTCGGCCAGCCTTTAAATGTGACGTATGCCGCGCATGGCAGCCTCCTCGCTCGTGCTGCATCGCACCGCTGGAACGTGTTCTTGCTGCAGAACCTGAGATCGAACTCCTGCATCATGGTCGACCAGTTTGTTGGAACCTGGACTCTGTCCTCCAGCGAGAACTTCGATGATTACATGAAAGCCATTGGTGAGATTGATTCACTTAGTTAATTGTTTTGTTGCGTGATTGTGGGTTGCAGCAGCAACATGCATGATTTTTTTTTTTTTGAACAGTAAATTGAGTAATTTGTAGACGCTGCCTGTTAACGAGCCTCCTGGTATCTAAGGTGTGGGCTTCGCCACCCGGCAAATGGGCAACATGGTGAAACCCAACCTGGTGATCAGCGTGGACGCTGGGGTTGTTTCAATGAAGTCTGAGAGTACTTTCAAGACCACAGAGATCAAGTTCAAGATCGACGAAGAGTTCGACGAGACCACAGCCGACGGACGGCAGACAAAGGTGGGTCATGTTCCCCATCAGCCTAATTTGAAAAGAAGAATCTCGTGTATTTGACTAAATCCAACGTGGTTTCAGACCACCATCTCCTTTGACAATGGCAAACTGGTGCAGAAACAGACGTGGGATGGAAAGACTACAACCCTGGAGCGGGAGATTCAAGATGGAAAACTGACAGCTGTGAGTCATTATGCATTAAGCCCATGTAGTTTGTAGGGTTTTCTCCCCCTTGTTAAAACATGGCTGTGGATTTCTGGAAAGTGCTTTACTTTTTTGATCATCTCCTTTTTATAGTGTAAGATTTAACATTTAAACCTTGTCTCCACAGAAATGCATCATGGAGGATGTTGTTGCAGTGAGGACCTATGAGAAGGTTTAATTTGAGCCTGGACCTCCACTACCAAACACCAGATGCACTGAGATGATGAAATAAAGTCTGTTCTGTGATACTTGTGCATGAATAAGTGTTTCTTTGTTGGGATGCATGTAAGGTTGTGTGGGTTTAGCGTTTGTCAGTGCCTGGCATGTCTATTGTTGCATCGTCAATGGGCCACTTTAGTCTTCAGGGATTTTTATTTTTTTCTTCTCACTACAGACTTTGACTTTTCATAGAATGAAAAGCAGCTACTGATAATGACTGCTTTGTTTGGATTAAGTTTCCCAGTAGCCAGCGTGGAAAACACCAGCACCCTGAAACTAAAGCAGCTGATGGGAATTTGTCTTTAATTTTCACCTGTGCTTCTCCTAACTCTTAAGTCTGAAACAGACCTAATGCTACAAGAGCTTTCAAAGCCAAACAAATTACAGGAGGTCTCAAATTAGATGTATAACTTGAGAAATTGGCTGATGCAGTCTTCAATTCTTGTGCAAAAGACACTAATCCTCCAGTTGGTCTCATAGTTGTTTTTATTTGGATACTAATGCAAGATTTCAAAACTTCTCCAGGCAAGCGATTTGTAGAATAGAAGTAGCATATCCAGCATCTTGTAAGAAACCCCCTGACCGTTTCAAAGTCATGCCTCTAATCTGAGGGGACACTGGGGGGTTGTACAAAGACCTTTTGTTCAAATAAGAAACAGCAACATGTCCCCCCCATATCAGAGCAGCCCTCCTAATGATGAGGAGGTGGGAAGGCCAAATCCCTGCTTGGGGTTGGCGCAATGACCTCGTTTGTGCAAGGCCCCTTGTCTTGGATGCACAGACATGGAGTTCAAGCAAGTGCACCTAATTTGTTTTAATTAGGGTCCTTTGGGGTAGTAGGTTTAGGCCCAAATCCTCAAAAGATTTGCAGGATTTAGTGAATGACTGTGACCCTGCATGGTGCTCAAGCAACAAAGAATACTGACTAATGAAAAGCTGATTCATCGTCTCGAGTGCCATATTATATAAGACCATGCCACATACAGACATTGCATTAGGCTGGGGACAATGCTACACATTAAGGATAGGCTTTAGGAAACTGGCCTCCTTTGAAATTGGTTCAGACATAATCGCACCATGACTGTGGGCTGATGGATTCTTAGAACCAGCATACAAATACAGTCTTAATGATTGTATTGTTTTAGTATTAAAAGCACAAATCGGTGATCATTTACTTAAAGGTTCAGTGTGTAGAATTTAGTGACATCTAGTGGTCAAGTTGCATGTTGCAGGTCGACACTCCTCACCTCACCCTCTCCTTCCAAACATGAAATAGAACCTGTGGTGGCCTTCAGTTGTCAACAGCTCAAAAGGTGTTTAGTTTGTCCAGTTTGGATGACTTTGAGAGGACCCGCTCTGATGTAAATATAAAGTATTTCAATATAAAGGGCCCTTTCTAGGGTAAAGAAAACAAATATTTGTACCCACTATTGAAAACATCACTAGGGTTATTTTACATAAAATGTCTGCCAATAGATCATTTTCCCATAAATCTTACACCCTGCACCTTTAATAACACAGCAAACACATAACAGATAACAGATTTCCTCAAATGTTATCTGGTAAAGTCATCACAGAGCCTCCAACCACCTACGATTGTTTTCACTCCCGGCTGCAGTAATGGCCTAACCACCGGGCTGATCACTTATTAATGATGTGAGTCATCCAGAAATGAAAGAGTATCGCATTCTGAAACGTTTACTTCCTCATTTGAATGATTAGATAATATGAACCTGAAGACCCCATTGACAGAATCTCACAGCAGCCTTCCTTCTGCAGAAGTGCCCCCCCTTGTGGCTGGTTGTAGTAGTTGCAGGGATGGAGTGGACAGTACCACTGTGTCCTAATACGTAGGGGGCATCACATTTAGTCGTGAAATTGACACACGTGTCCTGGGACTTTGTCTGTCCCAAGCAACATACTATTTACTTTTTGAATTATTTAAAAAGGTCAATATGTTTCTAAAAACATGTTTAATCATCAAGCATTACGTGTACTCCACAGTTGCCTTGTCTTCGCCCAGATTATCCCGGAAGACGTTATACGTGACGCTGCGCCATCATGAAACATGGCCGACGAGAAAAACACAAACAAGGGAGTCGACAGAGGAGAGAGAAGCCCGTGTTCGAGCAGAGCTGAGCCGCTCGCAGAGGAAGCTCCTCGGAGAACGAAGCACCGGGACAACATGGAGGCTGAGAGCCGCGCCACGGCGGAGTACTGCGAGAAGCTGCAGGCGTGGATGTGGCAGTACTACACCGGCTATGTGAACTGGCAGAGCTGGCTGGCAGCGTCAGCCATGTCCTACCCTCAGCATTTACAGTCATCCGGCGGGACTGCGACGGCCTCTGTCGATTTCCTGTCCCCGCACTGGTACAACAGTCCGTTTGCTCTCCCGATGGCGCCTTACCCACCGGCCGTGGCCTCGCCGAGCAGCAGCCGGGCAGGTGAAGCAGCCGGCGGGGGGGCAGCAGCAGCAGCAGCCGGTCAGCCGCTGCAGCAGCCGCAGGAGAACGGAAACGCACCGAGACCAGGTAGGAGCCGCTGGTTCCACGTGTCTGCTGGTTGTCTCAGTGTCAACCTGTCATAGTGTTAACTCAGTGACCGCGCTGGACAGACAACCACAGCTACTTCACTGACAGCAGTCAGAGCATTTTCCCAGACGTTTGTGGACACCCCTGTTCATTTGGCCTCGTGGGTTGAATAAGATCTAAAAACCTTTTAAATGCTAATGCTCTGGTATACAATCACATTATTAACAGTAGTGTTGTTACATGTTTGTGAGTCTGCTTGAAAGAACTCGACCACAAACTCACCTAAGGGCTAAAGTCTACTGTTAAGTTTGAGTTCAGTTTCATTTGCAATCAAGTCAGGCCAGATACTTCCTGACTATAGCCAGGGATATAATGATCATCATCGTCTTTACACGTCACTACAAACTGTTTCCTCACTTACAATTTCAAACAGTGCAGTGTGTGTAAACAGCCCCCACATGAAGCTCTGCCAAACATCCAGAAAAAAACTCCAAGGACGTTATGACCTCAGCAGCTGAAGGTAGTTACAACCTTCCACCTTTTAAACTCCTTTGGGATGAAGTGGAACACTTGACTGTGAGACACAGTCTATCACCCAAACACTCTTGTGACTGAATGAGAGCGAATCTGTGCAGGCTGGTTTCAAAGTCTTCAGGAAAGCTTTTCCTAGAAGAGTGGAGCGCAGTTACAGCAGCGTGTGTGAGAATGGGTTTTCGAATAACGGTGTCAACAATCATATACAGCAGTCACTTTAGGGTTTGTACTCATTTGACTTGAGCTGTGTTTTCTCATGCTTGTCACCAGGTCGAGAGTATAACATCCCTTCACCTCTTCAGAGACTCCTGGCTGAGATGGTGGATTTCTTCATTTTGTTTTTCATCAAAGCAACCATCATCATTAGTATTATGCACCTCAGTGGAATCAAGTGAGTAAATTCCACTTGTGTTTGTAGTAGAGTTGGTAAAATGACATCTGTCGTTTTCAGTCCAAACTGAATTGTAGCTCGAGATGCTCTTTGGTTAAGTATCCTTCACTTAAGGCACTTTCACACCTAGGGCCTGGATCAAACTGAATCCTGGTTTGGTCTGTTTGCAACAAACAACAGCCACTTCTGTCTCTTGTGATAAAGAGACAGAAGTGGCTCACAGGATTTCTTGTAGTCTTCTCCTCTGATGTAATGTTTGAATGACGAGGCTGTTTATGTGGCACATTCAAACTAGGGTTTAGCGCTACAGCTGAAGTTGATGATGCATTCAAATGGAAAAGCTACTACGCGCCAAACTGACAATGGCAACGTCAGACACACTCTTGACTACAAGCCAATCAATGTCAAGTATAGGTCAACACAGCCCACGTATAGGTGATGGCGACGGGAGTGTGTCTTTAGTGTGCTCCTTAAATTGCAGCGTGGAACCAAAACTAACTGGATCATATGTAAACAATGTAACTAAGACTTGGACCTTGGTTCAGACTTTGAGGCGTGAAATCACACTTACGTTTTTCTTTTTCCCTTCAGGGATGTTTCCAAGTTTGCAATGCATTTCATCGTGGAAGAGATAGATGAGGACACATCAATGGAGGAACTACAGAAAATGATGCTTGTTGCACTTGTGTACCGGATATTAGTGTGTTTTTATGAGGTGAGCACTCATAAACTCTATTCTAAAACATAACAACATGCAGCGGTCTCAAAATCAACTATCTAATCTTCCTCTATTTATTGTTCAATAGTAGTTTAGTGTCGTTAAGTGACATCTCGTTCATCTTTCTCTCTCCAGATCGTGTGTATCTGGGGAGCAGGAGGAGCCACTCCAGGGAAGTTTCTCGTTGGACTCAGAGTCGTGACATGTGACTCATCAATTCTGGTTCAGCCAAACAGGGTGCACGTAGTGCCAGCAACTAACGTCTCTCTTTCTGCGTGAGTAGTTCATTTCTAATATTTTCTTTCAGTAGATTAGTAACAAATGAAGCCAGTCACTGCCTCACATCTTGTACTTTAAACACTGTCTCTGTGTCCCTCTGCAGATCAACGGTCCGAGCCTTGAACAAGAACTTTTCTATTGCCTTCTTTTTCCCAGCCTTCATCACACTCCTGTTCTTTCAGCACAACCGGACTGTGTATGATATGGTAGCCGGTACAATAGTTGTCAAGCGCTCCCGGGCCAGATGACGCTGAAGAGCCCACAGGAGAGTGGTACAGTGATGCTGAGAAGGCACTGTGTGATGCTTTTTGAGAAATGCCAGCAGAACTCCTCAGACGCTGCACTGTCCAGGTATCGTCTGGACACCCAGCAGCATTGAGGTGTTGGCAAAGAGATGGATGCTCATCAATGTGAACTATTTTACTTCCCTACAACTTGGGTTTGGTCTGTCTCTGACACACACTGTATTTATGTCTACATGCCACTTTCAGAATTTTTTCCTGTGCCAAAGTATGTCTCCACCGAAGACAAGATTTCGCTCTTCTCTTCAATAACACAAGATTTGCCTCTTTTTAAAAGCTCTTGCAAACTGAGGGTGAAGGTCTCGTATCACACAGTATTTAAGTTGATAATAATGAATATATGAGATTATTCCTGCAGTATAACTTTGCATTAAAAACTGTCACAAGAGTTGTGAACTCAGACTTTTGGAGTTGATGCATCATGCTCAGCTTTTCAGCTGCTGTAAAACTCTGGTTTAAAGGGACATTTAAATTAATTGAAAGGAAAAGTAAACCTGAGCACAAGTACTCTTCCTTTACACGCATGTGTACGACTGAAAGAAATAAATGCATTATATTTTTTATGTAATTAACTTTTTCTTTTGCATTTAACAAGATTAAATGAAACAACCTCTAATTACCTGCATGTTGAGATGTCTTTTAGCTTGCTTTGTGGGCAGTTTGATAATTCTTCTTAATTGCTCATTAAGAAGCCACAGTGTGTTTTCTTAACTAAAAATGCATTGACTCACTAATGTTACAATAATGTCTGCCTTATGTAATGAGGGCATACATTGGCATCAACAAGAATTCAGACTTCCAGTTTTAGTGTTGTAGTTTTTTGTTTTTTTGTTTTTTCAAGGACCAAGGACGTTTTAATTAATGCTTGTTTGTTTGTTTGTTTTGTGGAGGGGCCGGTTCATGACCCAAGGGGAAACCCATTGAATTTGTGCGGATCTGGATCAGGAACAAGGGGCGAATCCAACATTTTCACTTTCTTAAACATTGCGTTTTTAATAATATTCGTTGATTTGTCAGAGAATAATTAATGGATCTTGAAAAATACCCGGCATGTTTAGGGGACTGATATTTAGGAGCATTTGTTCCTGATCCAGATTCTAGTTGTATGTGGATTTTTGCCCATCTCTCTACTCTCAGTAATCCATGATGAGAATGTGAAAACATTTTAGACTTTTTTTTTTTTTACCAATTTATTAAAAATCAAAAACTGAAAACTCTCATTTACAAAAGTCAAAGTCCCTTTCAAGGCGCTTGGTTCAGGATTCAGTAGAAGTCCCTCTGGCAGCAATTACAGCTTCAAGTCCTCTTGGGTGACTCTCTACCAACCTTTCACACCTGGATTTGGAAAGTTTGTTTAATTCTTCCCTGCAGATCCTCTCATCCGTCCTCATGTTTAGGTTTCGACTTGGTCTGGTCCGCTCAAGGACAGACAGAGACTTGTCCCAAAGCCACTGCAGTGTTGTCTTGGGTTTATGCTTTGGATTGTTGTCATGCTGAGGGTGAATCATGGCCACAGTCTCAGGTTGTGTGCACTCTGGAGGAACTTTTCTTTGAACCTATTCTTGTGATTTATCTATTTGATATTTTTTGAAAAAAACTGTGATCCTCTTCTTGCCAACTGGAGTTTGGCTCCACCTAGTGTGTACTAGTTGATCAAATCCACATTTTCATATGATTTAATAAGGAGGATTAGTCCACTGCATTGTTATATATCCTTTAAATCTACCTCAATGCGATCCTCCTTTATCATCACAGAAAATAGACCGCGTCATCTTTCGTGGACAAGAATAATTCTTTCCTAAATATAAGAAAAGCCCAAACTGTTATTACCACAGGTTTTTGAGATATTTCTTTCTCCAGTTTACTGTCAGGTCACATGTACTTCCAGGGACTGTGGAAGCTCCAGTTGTTGGCGAGTGTTGACGTGGTGATTGTGTTAGGCCCACTAAGTGGCAGCTTCAGCTGACAGCCACAGATGGTGCTCGCAGATTACAGTGACCTCCCCACACATGCTGCTGCCATGCACCATGCCATTACTGCAGGTAATGGAATAATATATCTTATTGACGTGAAGAGCTTTACTGTGGACAAGAAAGAAATGTAGGCAGACACTACCCACAAGTTACTGTACTGTTTACTGATGATGAGTGAGTTTGGCTTATACAGTGGAGGATGTTTGTAATGTGTTTTTGCATCAATATACTCTGGATCGTGTCCAAAGAGAACGTGCAAGAGGACGATTTGTAGGAAAGGGGGAAACTTTTTACCATGATTCATGACAAATATGTGTTAAGCTACTTTCTTACAATAAATGTCCAAGCCCCTTTTAGTGAATTTAGCAATCAGTTATGAGTAAAACAATTTAATAGAATTAAAGCTCATACTTTTGGCTATTAAAAGGAATCCTAATGTGGCTCTAACAATGGCAGTGCTAAAATTGATTCCTGCCATAATGACTATACAAAGATTAAAGATTATTTGAGAATTACAATGACATCAGTCTACTCTTCAGTTCACACTCTGTCCGTTGTTTGATGGCATGCTTGATAAATCTAGTTCCTCTGCAGACACATGGCGTGCCATACGCTATTGAGCTGGTGAAGAGTCCAGCCTGAGTTCCTGCCACTGGCCACATGGAGGGCTCACAGCTTTCTCTGACAAGTGTGCATGTGTGTGCGTGTGTGTGTGTGTGTGGAATTAGCTAAATAGTCCAGACTCGACGGGACAAAAATTATGCCCTCAAATTCATTAGATGTTAAATGAGATTCAAAAGTGACAGCTGATAGCATCACGCACACACGCACGCACGCCAGGCTCCAGGTGTGTAGAAGTCATGGAAAAGTGGTGTGAGGTGAAAAGCTGCTCACTGTTGTTGTCGTTTCTCCCACTGTGTCTGTGCCTGTTGGTTTTCCTCTCAAGTGGAGTCAGTAATTACAGGCTGCTGGGTTCTGCCTGAATGGAGAACAGAGCTGCTGATGAAGAATGCCTGCTCTGACACCAGGAATGCCATAGGGCATCATGCAGGCAGCAGACATTTATATAACGTACATAAATATGCACACATCTGCACACTTACTTTACATTTTTGTCATTTTTCAAGAACGTTTGGGACTCACAGTGTCGTATGGACAGAGCAGTAATCATAGAATGTAAAGATGGACACATTATAGCTACCAAAAGTGAAGTCAAAGCATCTTGATTGTACCTGTACCCTTAGTTCCCCTGATCTAAAATTGACATGACATAACATCATGTCTCTGGGTGTTTGTGTTTTTTATACAGTTCTGCTTAAGGCAGCAAGAAGCTTGAGTTGTCAAGACAACCATGGAGGTAGCTTTGGTTACTATAGACAAATCCTGCCTCTTTCTGGCGGTGTACAGTCATACAGTTAAACAGTCACAGTATGTTTGGTGAGAAACACGTGGCCCAGCATATGTTTGTCTTCTGGTCTCATCAAGAAAAACACTTTTCCACGTATGACTAAATCACTATAATCTTAAAATGGTTTGACTTCCCTGATTTTCACTGGGATGTGTTGTATTTTCCTTGAATCAGCTGTATAATTTATTTACAGAGGGATAACGCTTGGTGTACAAGCAGGAAATGCTTGTTTGAATACAGTAATGTGACCTGATATCCAGGCTGGAAAGAGCAGGAGTATTGATGCGCTATTCTCATTACCTCCACGAGGACGTCACATTTCACCTGGTTGTTTGTTTGCAAGGAAGATTACGCAAAAGCAGGGATTATCATCCAGGGATTCAAAAAATCATTATTAACATGGTGAGATTGACTTTTTCAGTGGCTTTCCACATGATAATTAATGGATCTTGGTGAAAACAAATATACAGGCATATTTAGTGGAATGAGATGTATTATCTTGTATAATTTGGTACTGCTTGATTGAATTTAAGCAGACTGTTGGACCTTATGGAGATATGTGCTCTACTGAGTGTCATTCTAGTTCCTTCTGTATTGACCTCTCTTTATCATTGTAATATAATTTCTTACCACAAAGATGATGTACATGGAAGTACATTTATTAAATAAAGATTTCCTCATTAATAACAACAGAAAGACTGCTTTACCTTCATGATTAATAAAATGAGATGTTTTTTTATCCACCTCTGAGCTGTAGCTTGAGTCTGACCAGTATACTGCCCTCTGTTGTGTGAACCTGGTACTGAATCTACATGTTTGACGCTTTCACTGAGGTCAGTGAGGTCATTTCAGAAATGTTCTTGTTCCTCGCTCCACGTACAGCTGATAACAAAGCATGTGTCCGTGTTGAGAACTTGTACCGTGTGCTCCATAATGACTGGTGTTTCATTAAATGTGACACATTATATTACACAGGCGGCTCTTCCTCATTTGTCTTTCCTGTCAAACCCCAGTGAACATCTTTGGAAACTATGATTAAAAACCAACAACCACTTTGTTTCCTGGCTGCAAACTGTGCTCAGTTTTTTCCCTTCACTGTTTGGTGTCTTTCTGATTCATTTGGTTTATGTGTTTGAACAAATTCTACCCAGTTCCTTCAGTGCCTGAATTCCTCCTCCACAGATCACTCCCACCCGATCCTTCAGTTGCCTATACTATGTTCTGGAGATGTGCGTAAGCAGTGGCTTGCTATTTTCAGCGGAATGAAAAAAGTCTTGGCACTTGGACTCGGAAGAAATCTGTTTTGTTCTGGTGAATTTGGCTTTCACCAAGTATGAAACAGAGTTACAGAATTTAGTTTAATGGTGTCCTGCGGTAACACCAGAGCCATTTGGCTGAGATGCATGGTTTCCCGACTCATCTGTTTGCTGTCTATCAGAAGGAATCGGTTTTCCTTAGCAACAGGGATACAAAAATATCTTGCATTTTGGCCAGTAGAATATATTTTTTCGGTGGTATAATCATTTAAATCTAACAGGTTGATGGAGAGATTTTGGATCTGCTCCCCCACACCGAGCAGCCACAGAATCAACCATGAATCATATTACACTCTTAAAGTCTTGTAGGGAAAATATTCAGGCCCTGAGTTGACATTTGATCTTTAGACATTTAAGCCAAGGACTCTGCTCAAGGTCACTTCGAACTTTTGTCTCTGCCCAACAATCACTCCATTGTAATTAAGCTTCAAATTCACTGACAATCCCTCAAAGACTGTAAGGCTCATGTGCACCATATTTACTGATGAAAACAGTCAAATGGAGTGGATAATATAAACACAGAATATTCAGTGATGTGCGTGCACCCAGAGAGGTGAGGTCAGTATCACCTGCCTGCTGGGTTCGCTGTCCCTCCTGCTCTTTTCATGAACTGCTGAATTCACTGGCTTTCAATAGGCTCTTTCAGTGTGTCATGCTACACCACCATTGAGCTACAGCCACGTTGCCACCCATCTTTCTTAATGGGGACTGGAGACTGTGGAGCTGCCTTGTTGCCATGGCAGCAGGCGCTTTCACATTCTCCCCACATAGTGTGGAGTGTGCATGTTGTTCCCTCCAAACTGGAGCGCGCCACAGTGCAGACAGGTCTGCTCTTACTGAGCCGGGGTTATTTACCTCCCGCTCTGATACCAGATTCCCTCTAAATCCCACCACCCACGCTCCACTTTCCATTCTT